ATGCAAATATGAACAGACTGAGCAAATAAGGAAGACTCAGTGCGAACCTGCATGACCACGTGACCTTACAGTAAATGTAGGAAATGCCTTTGCCCTTAATAAATCTTTCTAGTCCTATTGTAGGCTAATTGTGTGCATCCTCTGTCCTGAAATGGATTGGTTTTTGGAACTGGCATACCACTACCAAATGGCATACCAAGCCATTTCAGTGGCATGGGAAAAGAAAATGGTATACATGGCAGTGGTTACACATGATATGATGGTGAAGGATTGGAAAGGTGAGAATCAATCCAAAGCTGCTTATACGCAGCCAATAAAAGAAATGGGATGAATATAAGTGTGAGCAATAATTTATGTCAAAGGCACATGGAGTTTTATCCACAAAAAGATGGAGAGAAATGTTTGTCAAGGACCTGCATAAATAAAGTTTGCAATACTAGAATATAAATGTTTCAGATTAAAGTGGGATAAAAATGTTTCTGTGTTTCAGTAGTACATATAATTGGGCAGTGGAACTCAATGCCATGTGAAATCAGTATGATGAATTGGGTAAAATAATACTTTACAATTGACAATATATTATAGCTACTGGTTGGAAAGTCACTAATCAATAAATGACTGGAATAAAGAAGTTTGGAATATAGCTATTAACGATAAGTTAACTTGTTATATTAAGTGGAAAAAAGGCTTGAAGAATCAGTAGCTGATCACAAGAATCAGTGCAGTTCCGGAAGGGGAATGGGAGTGGGGCAACCTGAATAAATAAATGATCTTACATTAAGTAGCACGATTTGTTGGTCCTGGTGAAGGTAGCACCCTTATTATTGGTATTGTTTAATTATGTTTATTACTATTATATTAATTGTATTGTTTATGTTTGTTAAATTTATTATTTTTTTAAGAAAATGAAATCATGTCAGCTGGCCCAGAAAAAGCAGCTTGCCCTAACCTCCACACTTTTGAACTCACTTGATGCATGCTCATATAGTCTGCCTGTGCATGATCAGCTCTCTCAATCCTGGCCCGAGCCACCTGTGCTTTGAATGCTGGACATTGGGGCACCAAGGGGTTGGCCAGCAGATGTGATCCCACTTGCCATTACTCAAAGGTAAAGATTGCATTGCATTAATACTCTGCAGGTATATTGATCATTTAAGATAAAGGAACCTCTGGAATGGGTGCCCCCCCCGCCCCGTGTGAGAACTATAAACAGTACAGACATGTTTATGATTAAACATTTTTAGATGCCTTGATAAATGAAATCATTGACCTGAACAATACAAAATGAAATCCTCCACCTATGTGTGTCAAGAATTGCATATTATATACAAAGTAGGGCATAGGTGATAAACACAATCACCAGTTCAGAAGGGCTTGGCTGTGATGTAATAAATACCAGCAGCCCAAGGTAGTAATCTAGAGACTCACCTACACTCAAATGCCTATAAGGATCGAAGATCTATTCTATTGTTTCAATGATGGGCACACAAAAAAGAAACCTTGCTCACCAACAAAACTCTGTGTGAACAATTTGGAATAATAAGGATATTTGCAAAATTAAGGTTCTGTGTAAGTTGTGCTATATTGGTCTAGTGCGGGGGTCAGCAACCCATGGCTCCGGAGTTGCATGTGGTTCTTTGATCCCCCTGCTGTGGCTCCCTGTCACTCAAAATATGCGTCACAACCGCCAATGTGTGACACCCGCCGGCACGCGATTTATTGAGCTTTTCGACCCCTGGTAAAATCCAACCACGGATAAATCCAAGAAAAGAAAAGTTTCAGAAGAAAACAGAACATTTAATGGTACGTGGGCAGATTCATTTGCTTTCACTGCTGACAAGACTCGTTTAGCAGTATGCTTAATATGTGGTGAGAAATTGGCAAACAACAAAAAGTCAAATGTTGCAAGACATTTCCAGAATAAACACACAGCCTTTGCTGAAAAATATCTGGATGGAGATGCAACACACTATAGTTATTTTATACATGGCATAAAGGTAAAAAATGATATATGCAGTGTTATCTTCATTTGAGATGTCAAAAGGGTTTGGTGGTTCCTTGTGTTTTCTTTTCTGTGGGAAACGGGTCCAAATGGCTCTTTGAGTGTTTAAGGTTGCTGACCCCTGGTCTAGTGAGTCTAGTGGTTTATAGAGGGATTCACTGTTTTATACCGGGACCTGCTGAGAAATGAACAAACTGGATAAATAATAAAGCTGAAATCCTTATGATTTAAAAAGAACAAAAATGTGCCATTACTTTGGATGAAAGCAAGAAAATTACAATTGACCAGAGAACATCTGTGCTACAAATGTGGCAACACATTTTTATTTCTTTATTTATTTAGAGTAAGATGTGTTCACATCCAGCATGACAAAATTTGTACAAATTTCACAATTTAAAAATGAAGTTATCACAGCAACTTGTGATTTCACACATTTATAGCAAAATTAAAATGTCAACAAACCCATGCCGTGTAGTACAAAAATAAATCAAACCTCATTTCCACAGAGAGCACAATAAGTAGTTTATACAAAATTCTGTCTTAATAAATGAGCACTTAAATTAAACTTAGAAATGAAAATGAACAATAAGTTAGAATAAATAAACTCTGATGACTCACAATAATTTCAGATGAAAGGTCAGCATTCTAATATGTGACACTTTTGTGATCCCTATATAATAGTCACAGATAACTTTTGATTTGATATTATGTACCAACATTAGATGAGCAGCGCGGATTTGTGCTTAAAATCCCTTTTCCATTGTACATAGGTGATAACAATAAGAATCCAAAACTGATACTATCTATTACTCTACGGAAAGCGTTACTATATTGGCAAAGAAGCTGCAGACACAATGCAGTGGAAAAATGCATATGCCATTATGAACAATGAGAGCCCTAAAAGGAGGCTAGGGCAAAAAGTACAATATATATGGCAGAAGGTGAACAACAAGCACCTTGCTTCAGCTCTCAAAAAGGCAATTCTGAGCATGGCAGCTACAACTAATAGCACAACAGAAAGAAGGGCACTATACAGAGAAGATACTGCAGAGCCCCAAAGTAATTACATAATCTTTTCCCAGCTAGTTATTAAAGTCCTCGTGGAAAACTGTAAGCTTTTTGTACAGTGAATAGTATAAAGTGCCGCTGGGATATACATATATTTATACATATATATATATACCGAGGTTGAGTATTGTATCAGAATATTTGTTGTGAGATCCCTGTAGTCTCCCCTTAGCAATATTATTGGATTAGCCACATAGGCTTCCACTCTAGTAATTTGTTCAAATTTAGTGTCACAAAGCTAATGACACAAGAAATTGCACACCTCCGTATGGATATATAGGGCAAGGTAAGTGCAAATAGTCAACTGGCACATTGTGGGGACAATGACCCTGTAAGTCCTGTTCTGCTAAAAATATTTTATTTTATTATTATTATTTTTTTTACAAAACCCATCTTTTTTCATAACAAAATTTTTAAAGTACTTTTGTACTTTCTGCATAACATCAAGACATGGAAGGAAAAGATATGCTATCAAATTGAAATTAATTCAACATTGGACAAACACAACACGCCGTCTGAATTACTACTTTAAATGGGGAACAAAAATGTTGCAAGAAAAAGTGGTCTTATGCATACATATAGTGCAGTTATTTTGAAGGAATAACAATCAAATCTGAAAAGTACAATACAATAGTTTAGCTTGAAATGATGCAATTTAAAGCAAAAAAGTGCCAAAGTATATTTAGTTACATTAAAATTTTTGATTGCATTCATTTTTTTGCAATAGGTAACAGTAGAACAAATAGATAGCATATGGAAATGCCACAGTAATAATGATTGTACGCCAACAAAAGAACAGAACGTAAACAATAAAAAGGGAACAAAGTGAAAAGATCTGATTAACCAAACTGCATTCCATTTCCTACATAAAATAGCAATGACTGCTGTAGTGAAAAATGTTTGGGTTCATTCCCAAATTAAAACTTTTTAAGGCAATATTTCTTTTAAACTATTGCCTTTCTGTTTAAGAAGACATGACTGAACTTCTGAAAAGATGAACTACATTGCTATAACAGATAACTCAGATGGACACTCTTAAGAGTCCTGGAGAGATAAGAGGATGTTGGCTCCAAAGTGTTTTGAAAAAAAAAAAGAACTTGAAATCTTCACGTTGTCCACCACTGATAGAGCTCCTGTCATTATGGAAGTTCCATATTCACACCATGTAATGCTTAGAAGTTAATTAAAAAGTGCTGTTTAAGCTGCTTTGATTCTTCTGTCAAGTTTCCATGGCTTGATGTTGTCTTACAATAAGTTATTCCTTTTGCATCTCACATCTAATTCATGCCCTTTACTTGGAATTCCAAAAAACCTCTTTTTATTGCCCCCACCACATACCATCCTCTGAAAACAAAAGTCACACAATATTTTCAAGCATTGTTCAAAAATAAAGCATTTTTGCAACCAATTCTTGCTATGAAACAATATGCACACAAAATGTATTTCTTAAATCCCATAAAATCCTCCAGCATGAGACAAAATGAGAGTGTTTAAAAAGTGGCCGCAGACTGCAACATTGTCATTCGAAGCGGGTTTTCTTTTTTTTCTTTTTTCCCATTTCAGTTCAAAATACTAAAACATTTAATCACTAAAGCATTAAAAAGAATTTACACTCTATTTATTTTGATCAGCTTACCTCTTCAGAAATATATTTACCCCAAAAATGTGCATACATTAGCAGCTATAAACATTACATGGCATATCACACTATGTCAGCTTATATGAAAACGTACAAAATGTGAATGTATTCAAAAAACTATTCTGCAGTTACTATCTTTAAAGCAAGACATAAAACCATTATGAAGTCTTGTAAGCATAACACTGTTTCAAACAGAAAGAAATATATAACACTTTCTGGTAAATTACAGCAGCAAAAACAAGAGGCATCATTTTTTTTTAAAGGTAAGATTTTCACCACTACAGCAGCTGCTCACACCTGAATTCCTCTCACAGCCTGCTTTATATTTTCCAGTAGGGCTTTATTTTCTGGACTCTGATAACGATCTTGATTTGTATACATGTCCGTCAAAGTGGTCACGTAAGCATCAAAATTTTGTTCATTGATTGGTTCCTACGAGATATTAAATAGTAGTTCATATACAACCTTTATCTGCTTAATTGTATATTCATTTATGCAAAACAAATTTATAACAGCACACTGATACAATTTTCTTAGCACATTAAAAGGCCTAGTTCATAGCTTACTTAATTTTACAGGAGATATCGGAATTGGCCCACCGTGTCTTTTTTAGAAGTTAAATTTATCTCTATGGTTTCAGGGTTGATACCGCAAATCTCCATCTGCTTGAGGAGCCATAAACATAAAAACAAAAAGACATCTACTGTATGAGGTGAAGGAGACTGCCACATTCCGTAACTTGTGCCCTTAATCACTTACCATATGTGGTAGCTGGATATTAGCTAGACTATGAATTAAAGATTGGCTTAAATTAGCCAATTCATGAAGAAGAGACTCATTTTGTTGTTCAATTACTTTGTTTTCCTCTTCTATCGTCTTCAGGTTGCTCTCCATTGTAGTAATCTAAAGGAACAAATTAGTATACAATGTAATACAAGGTAGACTGCTTTAAAAGTGTTTTTAAAATGTCAGTTATTACAATGGATTGGATTCAGAATGTTCCTTTCATTAATGGAAGGGTTTCTTCCATTACAGAGGCAACTGAGATCCAGCAGGGGCTTCTGCTGGAGGAAGAAGGTGAATATGATTTTCACTGGTTCTGCTTTCTCATTGCAGATTGTCTGGCAGGGTTTCCCAAAAATTTTATGCATCCACCACAAATCTTCCAGCAAGAATATATTCATTTATACAGGAACTCTGGATCCCAACCAATACATTTAGAATATTGAATGGCCATTTTGTTTATGTGAAGTGCTTTTTACTCAAAGCGTAAAATGTTTATCAGTTTAAAGGTTGTCTTTGTACTCTGCAATGTTAAATAAATAGTTTGGTAATGTGCTTATTTGGATAACATAGATTGATCACCAAAGGTGCTTGGTTAAAAAAAAGCATGTCAATGTTTTCTTATCATGTTAATAACTAGTTTTTAGTGTTTAAAAAACTGCTAGTTACAAACAAACAACCCCCCTCCCCAAACCCAAAATCAATCAATCAATCAATCCATCAAAAAGAAAGATAGAATTTGGGTATGTGTTTGCATTCTAGGATTATGAAACAAATGGCAAGGAACACTTTTATAGAAAATAATATATCTATGAATGAGAAAGATCAAAATGTTAAGCAAGCCACACAGATTAGGCATGGAGATGAACTGATGTGATGTGTATCGCACTGCCGTGTGTGTGTGTGTGTGTGTGTGTGTGTGTGTGTTTCCCAACTTAATGGAATGATGACAGTAGATAAAGTAAAGTAAGTTAGGCAATGCAACAGGTTTAATTCACATTCTTGCAGAATATCTTCTCACATCTGATAATTTGCTAAGAAAATTTTGCCTTTATTCAACATGGTATAACACTGCTCATGGTATAAAAATGCCTACCAAATAATTTTAATTTGGATTAGTCCATGTCCTCTTTTACCTGTGTTAAACTAAACTTTCTGACAAATTTCTTTGAATCAACAAAATAGAAATAGAACATAAAAACAAAACTCTCTAGAGAGGGTCAATGATTGATGCTGAAGTAGAGTGCTCAGAGTCACACTAGATGCAATTTTGAAAACATTTTTGCATCATAGTTTTCCTTTCCAAAAAAGAAGCTTTGGACTCCATGCTTTGGATCATATCACTGTATAAGGATTCCTTTTCCATCTGTCCCAGCACTATTTGGCTACCAACAATCATTTCTTGAAACTGCTAGTTGTCTCACTTTGAAACTTAGATCTTTAAGTAGCTTTGAGATGGGACCTTAGGCTTGCAACCACCTGAGCCTCCCTTATGTCTCTTGTGTCTGCCAGCAAGATCCAAAACTGTGAGAAAGATCAAAAGTGATGGAAGACCAAGTAAAGAAACTCCTGAGAGACACTAATACCTGGCTATTCCGAAAGCCATTTTCTGGCCAGAGTTGCTCTACCAGGACATGTTCTGTGACTCAAAGATTCAGATTAGGACAAAAGGTAGAATTTCTGAGGGCTGAAGAAAGCTTGTGACACCTTTGCTCTAACTTCTGCCTTTGGTGCTTGCTAGAAGGAACTAACACTCTCATAGGTAGCAGCAGCCTGGGTAAGGAAGCCTTGTTCTATGGAAGGTGTGCGTGAGAGCTAACATTGGGTCTTTACAGCAATTTTTTCCTGAAATTTTCAACATAACCAAAGAGTTAGAAGTCCAATACTCACTGGAACATCTGCAATCTCAAGCAGCTTTGATACTCCCTAATCATTCTTGTCTTGTTTTATTTTATTTTTTTTTTAAGAACTGTCTTGAAAACTGTGGTTACTAGGCAAGGTATAAAGGCTCCAAATGAATGAATGAGTGAGCAAATTAACCCCTTTCCCCTGGTGTAGTGATCCTGTTACAGATATGAGGCCCTGAGGCTGTGGCTTTTTGTTTGTTTGTTTTTAAGAATGAGTCATGACCAGTTCAGGATGTGATTCAAAACTGTGATGAAATTCAGTTTGATGCTTACTGTAACACAAAGTGGTATCAACTGTGCATAGGCAAAAAGATTTAGCTATTGACCTCTCTTGATTTGCCTTCCTTCCTGTTCTAACAATTGCTTATTTTTATATAAGGAGAAACTGCACATAGCCTTACATAACAAAACCCTTCTTGACCAGATAGTTTTGATGAAAAACATTAAATTTTGCAGTCATACCACAGTGTTCATAAAGTAGATCTAATTAAAACATTAGGAAAAAGAATGAAAGGGAAATACATTCACAGAAAATGATTAGCCTTACATACTTTTAAGCAAGTGGTGTAAAAAGCCATCATATGCATCATAAAACAGGCTTCATAAAACTGTTACCTGAGTTCGGAGTTTAATCATATCAGCTTCCATCTGGGAGTTGGATTCATTTAGCTCCTTTATTTCTTCATCTAACTGTTTAATTTCTTCATCATTTTCTATGCCTGTACAATGAAAATGAGACAGTCAAACATGTTATAAATCTGAGTTAAGCAACTAAAGTTGCTTTCAGGTGGAAGGCTCCTAGCACTATCAGTCAGAAGACAGCTATTCTGTCTTTTCTTCCTTAATGGATTTTCTATAGACCAAACAAGGTGGAAGAAATAGTGCGAAAACAATGGAAGGTTACAAACGGAAGCTGATTTTGTCTGGACCCCTTTAAAAATTCTGAGGATACACAGTGACAGTGTATCCAGGTCCTTTTTGGGGTTCTTCCGGTCAGGCATTCTCAGAGTGAGTTCACCTTCCTGCTGTCATTGTCCCCAGCTCCTACCACTCTTCAGGTGCCTTCTCTTCATCACCACCTCTTGCTTGTTTGACAGGGCGAGATTCAGTGAGCAAGTAGGTACTAGCACCTGCTGCTCCTCCTACTCACCACCACCTTTGCCTGGGCCAGAGTGAGGGAAAGGTGAATGAGCAGGATGCTAAGGTGAAGAGGAGCAGCAGCTCCAGGGAGCACTGAGGTGTTGTCCTTCAGCAGGTGCTCAATCATGCCTACCCTTGATGACAGCCCAATTCCACAATAAAAGCCTCATTTAGAAGCATTCCAAGTGAGTTTCCAGTTTAAGTCAAGCTCAATAAAATAACAAGGAAGAGGTGTAATGATGGAGCTGAGACTAATGAGGAACGCCTTCCTTCAGCTTCGGCTGATTAATCAGCTGCGCCCCTACCTGGAGTACGACTGCCTGGCGACAGTGACACACGCGCTGATGACTTCCCGCCTAGACTTCTGTAATGCGCTTTACGTGGGGCTTCCCCTGAAGATGGTCCGAACACTTCAATTGGTGCAAAATAGAGCTGCCAGGTTGCTGACGGGGACGGGGCATTATGCTCACATGACTCCAGTCCTCCGTCAGCTTCACTGGCTTCCCATTGAAGCCCGGGCCCAATTCAAGGTGTTGATGATGACCTATAAAGCCCTAAACGGCTTGGGTCCTGGCTACCTGAACGAGCGCTTACGTCCGTATATGCCCGACCGCCCTTTGAGATCTGCGGGAGAGTCCCTTCTCCGGGAACCCTCCATGAAAGAAATTAGGAGAGTAAGTACTCGGAGGAGGGCTTTCTCTGCGGTGGCACCCAACCTATGGAATTCACTCCCCAAAGAGGTCCGCCTGGCACCGTCGTTACTGGTTTTTCGGCGCCAGGTATAGACCTTTTTATTTAAACATCATTTTTATTGTTAAAACATATGATCTGGCCAGGGCAACTACTTCTTCCGTCTCTTTCTCCTCCTGTATTTTTATTTACTTAATTTATACTGATAATTTTAATCTTATATTTGTAAATCAATGTATTTTTTTGTATTTTTGTATTTAATGGTAATTTATTATGTGCTATTGTATTTCAATGTATTTTATCGTGTTGTAAGCCGCCCCGAGGTTTCGGCAAGGGGCGGCATAGAAATGTTATAATAATAAAAAATAATAATAATAATGTAAGGTAATAACATGGACATACTTTTTGTAAATATCAAACCTCATTTATGAATGAGGAGACTCTGGCTCAGGATGAAATGGAGCCTTAATGATATACAGGTATGGGCAAAGAGTAAAGTAATGATTAAACAGACAAATATGACAAGCGAATCTTAATCACTATGGTCCAATTCAGACATAAATGGATTTTTTTTATGTGCTAAGCCTTGAACTCACATGGTCCTCTCTCCCTTCCTTCTGTTTCACAGACTAGAGGAGACTGGAAACATCTGCTTCTCCTTTTATACAAATCAAAGTTTCCTGTTACATATGAACTGTGGAAGACTGTTTGCCTGAAACAACATTTTGACCCTGCCTTCTTATTATTGTTCAAACTAACCATCATTTTCTTAATTTGGACAACACAGGTAACTGAGGCTTGTTTAAGATAAAGGGAATGCTACTAATCTACTTCAGCATGCAAAAGGAGGTGAAGGGAACTGTGCTAGATTTAGGATCATGCAGATCCATTCATGGGAAGACAATGTGGCCAAAGTAATAAAGTTCATGTATACAAGTAATGAGGGGTTTTGCCCTGAGACTGTAGATGGACACATGTGGATTGAAATTGAACTGCAGGAAGACAAGAACAACCATTTCTGTTACCAAAGAAACTGGAAAAATCCACATTAAAGTATGATTCCTGGTTTGTTATATTTCAAGGTTTATACTCATTTGAAAATACAGAAGCTTTTAATTTATGTTTCTAGGAACCTTCATTTTTTCCTGGTTTAAGATTTTTCAACTCAACAATTCGTGCATGCAAAATATGCTCTTCCTTTACCTTAAATTCACTAACTTTATTCATTTCATAAACTGTATTTAAAATGATCTAAAGCCTAATCATTTAGATTCACCTCACCAATGGAAGAAACTTACTTTTTTTGCTATAATTTTTCATGGTGTTTTATCAGTTTCAGTAGACACGAGTTTTTTTTAATTCAATTGTTTTTAGATCACACCATTTTTATTGTTTGCCTTTTGACTAGTGGACCCACTTTTGAGTAAAAGCACAGAGCAAAAAAGATTAAAATAAAAATTAAAAACTCATGTAGTAGTAGTGGCAGAACCATGCATGCTCCAGTATTATGCGCTGCACTATGATACCTTTTAGAAAGACTCCAGAACTGTGTTTGGGAGTCCATAATAATATCATATTGAGTAAATTACTTCCATAGTCAGAGAGAGAAGTAAGAGTATTATCCCAGTCTTATTTAATCCAGAACAATTAACTATTTACCATTGCTAGCCCGCTGCTTTATTGTAAGCATTTGTTCTCCCGACAGCTTTGCTCTCTTCATTGCTGATGTAGCTCTGGGGCATCCTGATAGACTGTAGACAATAAACAAGAAAAGAGCTATTAATCGTAATAGCCCATTGATGATAAATCTGTCCTCTAAAGGTACCATGGAAACAGTGTTAGAGGAAAGTCTCTCTCAAAGACCATTGATAAGGTGCTGGTTTCTGAAAGAGAACTATTATCAAACAAGTCATCCTTGTCAACGTTTAATATTCCCTAGTCTCTATTCCCATGCATTCACATGCACATTTGATAAAAACTATAGCATGCATGAAGGTTAACCTGAGAGAGGATAGTAGATAAGAAGAAAACAGTTTTTGCTTTTTCAGGTACCTTATCTGTTAACATAATATATAAACTCCAAGTGCAACCACAAAGCTCTCCTATTGGAAATCTTATTCCTGAAAAGGCAGAAGTTGATCATTTATGTTCTGTCTCTATACTGATCTTTCTATCAGAATTCTTGGATAGATGAAGCCAAACTCATTAAGCTGAAATATTTGTATTAATACTATTTAGTCTTACAGAAATCAACAGAATACAACTAACTTAAATACAAACATCCCACTTAGCTTGTTCTTGAGTGGGTTCATTCAAATATATTGTAACTTATTAGAATTCATTTGCTTTTATACTTTAAGTTACTACTATAGAGAAACTGTCCTGTTTCCAGGCTGTGAAATATTAAGTCTCTGACATCTCTTCTGATAGCCTATTTATCCTACTACATTCTGAGAACCATTCATAGACTTAGTTGTAGTAAAATGTATTAGTTGTAGTTAGAAACACCCCTCTACATCATATTCTCCATGGCAAAGAAATGAATAATTACATTTCTTATTTAAACTGCCTCCAAGGAATACTAATGATAAGGATGAATTAACAGTGTGACCCATACGCTAAAGTGATGTGTTCTCTAGTTTAAGCTGACTTTTTCCTTTAAGAATTTAAGCTGATTTCATTCTGTTAACACCAACAGGACTATTATCTGGTTTAAATCCAGGTGCAGAAATCTGGCTTACAGCTTTGGGGGTTGCTTGCCTCTGAAAAATTAGCATTAATTTTGGAAATGTTTTGAACTAGCACAAACAGATATTTTATGGTCATTAAGTATTTAAATATAATATTAGGGAAGAGTGTATCAGCAAGGGTATTTATCAAGTGAATGCAATATGAAATAAAAACAAATTAATAATACTGAAAGAACTATTTTAGATGGATTTTCAATATATTCCTTTATCTTGTAAGACGGCTCATGCTTTTATTTCAGGTTTGACTCTAATTCTGACATGGAATTGTAGCTTTGTAGACTAGGGTGGATTGGATTGTGGTTGCTAGGAACTCTTAAGACAGGCCAGACATGTAGAATCTAATCAGAACTGTCCTTTACTTTGTTGAATTTATAATCTTACATGTTCTATTAATGAAGCACCTAGAATCTCCAGGCTTTCCTAAGATGAAAAAGTAAGGCAGACTGTGCCTGAAGAGTTCATTCTTACTAAATATGCATTGCATTAGAGAGGAAAGGGAAGGAATGGAAAAGAAATTAAGCAAGTAATGTCTAAAGCTATCTGTACACTGTTTATTCTAAGTTTTTTCTCAGCTGTTACTTATGGAAATAAGAATGGGTCTCTTTGAAGACTGGTTGAGGTTTGAAAAAGTACATCTTAGGGAGCCTGAATTAAATGAAAATCTACATGAAACTGACTATTAAGTTGATGGGGTTCAGGCAATATTGTCCCATAGTTAGAATCTTACCTACCTATCCTACTACAATTTTATCCTACATTATGGAGGTGAAGATTAATAGTAATATATTTTGGACATCTTTCATTTTCCTGTCAGTTCTTTGGTTTCCTCAGGCTCTACAGGTTAGTCATAATCATTAGTCTGGTAGAATATAAGAGCACAGATTTACAGACAGACATCATTTCTGTTTATAGTGCTGAAGGGCATAACATGCCAACTACTGAAGATGAATCAGTTTTTATTTGCTTTGTTCATAGACTAGACTACTCGTCTGCCACTTCTGTAGTTCATCAGCTGAGAGAATGTTGCTTGTCAACTGGTGGAATACTCTGGAATGGAATTTACTTTCATGACCTTACTTATGGCTTGACTCTGAAATAGGCAATCCTGCCATCAGTTGGACACTAAACCAATGACTGAGCAAGTACAGAACTTCAGTCTCATACATTTTTGAATCCTCTTACAACTTATTCTTACATTATGTTGCACATCAGTGGTGCATCTTGGTCACTGATCTGAGAGGCCTCCAGTAATGGCAGTGGACCTGTCAAAGCCCTGTGTTTGGATGCCACATGCATCCAAAACCATTACAGGAACCTTGCCAGAGGCACAATGTTGCATTGTTCCTTCATGATGAACAGGGGAAAAAACAAAACAAAAAACACGTGTTTAAACAATGTATGTGGAAAAGTGTGAAAAGAAATTTGAAAGATTTCAGTTATTTAGCACAATTTTCATAATGCTATTTTTTTAAATAGAATAGTATGTTCCCTCTCTGAAACACATCACATCATGTTTGCATGTACTAGAGAGCTTTTTATTTAATGTGCACCAGATTAGCATTGGCATACTAGTTTGTGAATATGTACTTATATTAAAGGCAAAATGCTGTCCATAAATTATGTATTGATTTAAATGTTTAGACTTCTTTACCATAAAATGCTCAACACAGCACAAAATGCTAGACTTTAGTAAGTTCCCTTAGTTTAGTTTGCAAATGATCAGTGTTCTTGTAAATAAAGAAATCAGGAAGAATGTATTTCCTCAGCCAATAATGCTGTTTTACCAGCAGCAGACATTTCTCTGTTGCTTTGCCTAAGAAACTGATCTGAAGAGCTGCCCCTGGTAAAGCTACAGTAAATCAATGTCACTATTGTTTTGCTCAGTATTGAGGAGCATTTTCTTGGAAAACTTGTGCTGAACAGGGGCAAAAGTTGACCCAATTGGTGACCTTCTTGCCATAAAACTGGGGTAGGCAGAAGCCTGTAATGTGAAAAGATATCTCTACCCCAGGAGGGGGTGCAGCCTTACCTTAATGGGTGAAGAATTCAGAAGCTGCTTTTACTTTTGATACAAGTCCTAGAAGTTTGTTTCCAGACTAGTTCTTAATGAACTTCACAAGCATTAAGTAGGGATGCATGGTACAAACAAGCTTAGACTATCTTGTAACAGATTTTATAAAGTGAATCTACCTGTTTTTCATTCCTAGCTGCTACATGTCACCTCTCCTTATGTTCATTAATTCATCACAGTATATAACCCACGCAAAAGGATAGCTTGAGAAATAGTAAAGTATCAAAAGTAGATGTGTGTCAGGTAAAGAGAATGCACCTGCCAATTTGTATTGGCTTTAGAGTGCTTTAATTGCCATGGTAATTTAACTGTCATTTAGTCACCAAAGAAATCTGGGAATCACAGTCTGGTGAAAAGCTGCAAATTCTGTTACAGATCCCAGCAAAAACCCACTGTTTCCCTATTGCAAAGTTCTCTGTTGCAGATCTCAGCTCCCAAATGGAACCTTCCTAGAAAGAGAAAAACCAGCTGTAGTGTAAATTCTCTCAATAAGCCTAAAACAGCTTAATAGCAAAAAAGTAGAAAGATGTTGTTTCTTACTTGTAGGAAGTGCATTTCATGTATGTAGCATAATATAAAATTAATTTAGGGCAAAAAGAGAAAAAAGTGTTTATTTTTTTAAAAATAAATGAATTGGCTTTAGTGCATAAGGAATTAAAAACAAAACTTCTTCAACTCCCTGCATTCTCCCATTGTTCTAAAAATAATGCCATTCAAGAGAAATAGCATTTCACCAGATTATTTAATGGCTGTGATAGGATAATATGCTTCATCTCACATCAGATAGAAGGCCTTTATAATGTGCTTCTGAATCACAGGTTTTAGGTTACAAGCAGGATTAGTTTGTAATCCTGCTTTAGCTTATGTTTAAATGCTGTAATGCCTGGTAAACCTTATGTTGGCTTTCAAACAGACATGCAATTTTATAGTTTGTAAACTCTGGAAAAAATAGTCACATAGTTTTCACAGGGCATAAGCATTGAGGTGAGCTTGCCTTGGATGTTTTCTTTGTCAAAATGTCTATCAGCAGACAATATTGTGAAATTACGTATCATACAAACTGAATTAGCATACAAACTAACAAAGCTATTGAATAGAACAGATAGGCATTGTTATAATTAGCACCATGCTATTCATTAACTTTTGGCTATCCAATTGTATTCAGCTTTGAAGAAAGGTAGATCTTTCCAGAATGAAATACCATAGAACAGGGGTCCTCAAACTTTCTAACCAGGGGGCCAGTTGAAAAGTGTTGGTGCTGGGCATGGGCCAGGAAGTTGGTTCCAGCAGTGCGTGCGGGCCGGGGCAGTGCGTGTGGGTGCACGCGCTAAGGTGGGGGTGGCACGGGTGTGGTGAGGGGAGGCGAGGTGTGGGCGGACATGTGCCACGAGGCGGGCGCATGGGGAATGACTTGCTCGCTTGGAGATCGTTTTCTCCGAGGGAGCAAACAGCTGCCTCCCCGCACGCGGGGCGAGTTGGGCTGCGGCGGGCGCACATGTGGGTGTGGGCGCGAGCGCGGCAGGTCCAAATGGGCATGGTGGGCCTGATCCAGCCCCCGGGGCATAGTTTGAGGACCAATGCCATAGAACCTGCTGTGGTATGAAAGCCCAATATAATGATCTGCTTAAAAAATAACCTCCCTAGAATCTGTGTATGATCTTCCGGTCATCACTGGTATGCCCATATATGGCAACAAATGAGCAAGTTCCATATCCTAAGACCTGGTAGAATCTTAGAAAAATTCCTTTGTAGAATGTAGAATGTAATGACAGCAAATCTTGGGTTACAGGTAGTTCATTAATTAACCCACAATTTGCTGGGGTTACATATCTCCATCATTCATCATATGTAACACCTGAGCAGGCTGAACAGAGGTTCTCTATGATGTACAAACCAGGCCACTATGGGTTAATCACGGGTTAAGCAACTTACCATTAGTTGTTAGGTTAACATTGGTTTGTTTAATGCACAATTAAGCCATACTATCTGGTTTGTCTGGTATTGGCATGCACCAGGCACATTGTGGGTTAATTAACTGTCATTATGTGTGAATGGGGTCTACATTTTTGGAACATAATGGATTCTCAAGATTTTTCAACTATTGTCCGTGAATTTCATGCCAACTCAACTAGTGATTTTGTTGAAGCCTTGATTGATCTCTGGGAAAGGATAATTATCTAGTTGGTTGACACAGTCACCCATAAGTGTCCTCTTCTTGCTGGTGGACAAAAAAATCATACTCTTCCATCATCATTACATCTGCAAAGAGTTATCTTTTGGATCTTTGAGTAGCAAAAGGACTGTTGTATCAAGGACCAGATATAGTGGAAGAAGAGGGCTTGGTTGCCCACTGTGAAAGGCTTACTAGACATCTTTTGATAAAGGGAATCACATCAAATCCTGCTTAGATTCCACAATCAAAGCAGATCCTAATGATGCATCTTTGGCTCCTGTTTATCTGTTGTGATGGAGATGTTTCAATTGTGAAGCCTGATGATGTTGACAAAATCCATTGTGGCATGAAATCAACTTGTTTGGTACTTAATTCTTTCCCTTCTTAGCTGATTAAGGAAATAGCAAATGCCTCTTTAGATGAAGGGATGTCTACTGTGAGATCTTTATTCAAGATAGTAGAAAGGGTTTCTTTAATAATTTCCCTAAAATCTCAACCATGACATTCTGGGGCAAGGTACTTGAGGACAAAATGGTATCCATGGTCTGGCTGTTTTGTATATTGTTTTATAACCGTGATTAATGTCTCCTGGAGGAAGACATGTGCTTCGAAATGGTACAGGGAAGTAGATCAGGGAGGAACCACTGGAACAACATAGGGAGAAATGACAACAGGAAGCAGTAAGGGTGTTTGTGTGTGTGTGTATGTTTGTATGTGGGGGGGGGGGAATTCAGTAGAACTTTGGTTGTTCCTAAGCTGTCTCCTATTTCAAAGAAATCCAGAAGCCTTTCTGAAAGTACCCCATGTTCACCAATCTAGCATGCTAGCTGCTGAATGCAAGATTGGTGAATGGGAACAAACAGGCACATAGGTCTTGCTCGTGACCTGGCCTGTTTCATAGAGACTTGGTTGGATGAGACTGCAAGGAGCATATTTCTCACAGCTTAGCTAACCTGGTTTTCCATTTTGCAGCAGGCAAGACTTGGGAGGCTGGAAAGCTGAGTTGCAGTGGTCTATTGTGATTCTGTCATATTGCACAGGTGCCCTATCTTGCAATCTTCTAGTTCTGAGTATGTATATCTGAACATGGATGTTTAGGACAGATGAGGGATTTATTATTTATTATTTATTTATTTATTTATTAAAACATTTTTATGCCGCCCCATTCGCCGAAGCCTCGGGGCGGCTTACAACAAAAAATTTAAAATAACATTTTAAAATATATACAATAAAATACAAATATTAGTGTAATACCCACTCTGCTACTCAACAGTTTCCCTTCCTGAGCTAGCCAAAACTGCTGTACTGACTAGTTTTATAAATTAACTGATAAGGGGTAGGGAAATCCAGCTGCCATTGCATTTTAGCATGTATAAATGGGGACTTGTAGAGCTGTATATGCATGATGGAGTCTTCATATTCACCTAAGACCAATGGTTGGCACATGAGAGTTAATTTTAATATACAAAAGCAAGGTTGGGAAATTATTATTTGAATGGCATACTCTATAACTCCTTTTCAAACATTAGATAGAAAAGAACTATTGATCAACTGTTTGTTTATTTATTTGATTTATTTGAAAACTTCCCATTAGTATTATGCTCTCTTGGTGGCTGTTACAATAAAAAGTCAGTAAATAGCATTGATTAATACAATTGAAATATCATAATAAATATTTCTTCACAGAATAACAAATGTTAAGACCAAATTATAATAGATACAAATACTAGGACCAATAAATCATCATAAAAGGCACACTTAGGAACAAACATAATATGATATCAAAAGCACAGCTACTCACCTCCTATGTGTAAGAAAGCTACCACTGACATGTCCTGAGCCATCACATCCTGGGGTTGGACATGACATGCCTTCCGTCTTCACTGACTTCCAAGAAAACTGGGAGCCATTCAAGTAGCCATCTTTTTGCCTTTTAGTAGCTAGAGGGCACCCTGATGCACTACGGTGAGATGCATATTTCCCAGTTATATGACCCTGGCCATCACAACCGGGAACTGGACATCTGGATAGCAGACAGATGAAATTAATTTTATTGCCTTGCCATCATATATTTGGCAGTCTCTACAAATGATGGCAGTCTCTACAACAAAACAAATCTCCCATAAAAAGTATAATTATGCTTTATGTTTTAAAATAAAGCCACCAAGAACACAAAGAACACCAACAAGACATGTAACATAGACATAAAAGATGCTCATGGAATTTAAAACATCCCTCTAGTAACTTATGAACAATGTTGGTATAATAGACTGTTATATCTAAAAAAAGCTATATTATTGTGGAAGCAGATTCATTCCTTCTCCTAGATGATAGTTTGAAAACATACTAATTCGTGATAAGATCCCAGCTTTGTCATTTAGAGTTCGTATAGACTTTGTTTTGCTGGCACCGCTGTACTTTGCCAAATGATTTTTTTAAAGAAGAAAATATAAAATTTAGTATACTACCTGCTAAAGGAAAACAGCTATGAATGGTGCCTATCACTCTGGCTGGTCTCTCATTTACATGTCTTGAGATTAGGAGTGAACTGAGACCTGTTCATCAGTTTTGGCTTTATTTTATCAGACAAACACAAAACACAAGCCCTCAAATATTTCTGCTTCCTGTTTCATTCTCAGTAACACCTTTGCTTTAAAAATTTTCTTTGAGCAATGTTTGCAGAGAGTTATGTTGTAGTATAATAAGCCTCAAAGGGCAGAGGAACAAGTGGCATACAAACAGTATATAAAAAGAAAATGGCTCAGGTCCAACACAGCTGCATGTACAGCTGTCCTGTTGGTTATGGCAAGATAAAGCATCCGCTCTCAATTTCTCTCCCATGGCCAGGCACAGAAAACTTATGTGTGCATGGGATTCTAGAGAATTGGTGAGTTTGGGGACATATCTCTAGATGGGCAACATAGCAATGAATAGAAATTCTTGATCAAAAACATAGTGCGCAGCATCCTATGCTGCCTATGCACCAGCTGGTCCCACTACTAGGGCAACAGGGAGGTAGCTATTCTTAAAGCTTCCAGAAACAAGCAGGGCAGATAATCAGAGCTCTCTTGTCTTGTCCCGTTCCAAAAACAAGCATATCCAGGCTTACTTCAGGAAAAGCAAACTTCCCACTGTGCTAGCAGTGGTTCCTGTTGGTCCAATAGAACGAGAAGGAGCACAGCAACAGTACAGGATATTGCCCAATGCCTCCATTACTTTTAGTGCTAATTCGATTACTCATTGGGCCTTTTCATGCTTCACAACAGTCTACAATGGCATAATTTACCCAACTCAGCTCTTACATTGTGCTTTCAACATTTCTGCATAGCGCTCATAGGGGTCCAATTCAGCATATCTTGTTGTATTGTCCTTACCCAAGTGGTAGGGATTTACTTAGAAAAGCTGCAAATAACTCCAAAACAAGCCATGAAGGATGTTAACCTTCAAACAACCCCTATTAAGTGCTTATGTTTGATACAAGTCAGACATCCATAAACACAATGCAAAAGTGGCACCTTGAATACTAGGCATAATGTAATGGTCCCCATGGATAAACTAATCCTTGTGGGCTGTTGTGTTGTGCATAAAAGCACAAAACCTTCAGAAAAATTATTTGTTTAGATGTTGAAGAAGCTGTATTTATACAGCTTTATTGCTATCTCTATATGGATAGGCAGATAGCTTTAACCAAAAACGTACATAGATGTGTTCAGGGTTGGTACTGTTACTCAAACAGAGGAATAAAACAGGGAGAAGTTAGTCAAGCTAATTATGCATACATATAGAGTTCTTTGGATTCATGCTTACCTAATTGGCTCTTGATCTTCCTTATCTTCTTTACTTTGTACTATCCTGATTCCACTTTTCTTTGCTCGTGGACAACCAGAAAGACTAAGTAACACAAAATATTTTAAGATGGAACTCTTTATTTATAAATATAACCAAGAGCTTTCTACAAACATTTCTTACAGCCTACATCCATTGTATACTGATTTCAGCAATTTAACTCAGATTGTTTCTAAATCAAAGAGCACTGGCAAGATTCAGCCACATGAGGGAACCCAGGAGTCATGATTTCCTTCTCACTGCAAACAGAATTAAAACCCAGTTTTAAGGGTACCCATCCAGGGCCCCATGGAATTAAATTGCTGGAAAACAAGGGCAACTGTATGTTAAATTTCTTGATAATTTCAGTCATTGCACTGAACAACATAAATTGAAAGTGTCGGAAAGCTTCACCAACTTTTTGGTTATGGGCAATGGGAAGAGAGAGAGGCAAGTGATAAACAAAATCATTTAAGAGAAACCTAAAAATGTTTTCCAATGTCTTCTCCATATTCTATTATTTATTAACAAATGGCAACATCTGTTTCTTTAGTATAAGCGAAGCACTCAATTGGTTATGGTGCATTCATGCTTGGATAACAGATTTATTAATAAAACAAAAATCAAACATTATTACATAGTGAACATATTCAATTTTCTTTTGTTTCACTCATACTGACCTGACTGTGAGGAAGGGACAAATGTATTACCATGAATCAAAAATTTAGTACTAATACTTGATTTAAATTATGCTGCTTACAACAAAGCTAAATCTGACCTCATATCAAACACCTGTTCCACAGGATTGGTTTGTAATGTAAATGAAGCCCAGTCATTTTGACATCTACCATTATCTGCATCTTTCTTATACAGAAATAGTTTTAAATTGTCTTATCAGTAACTATATAAGCAGAATTTTTTTTGCTTTCATGGCAATGTAAATAGGAAAACAATGGTATTAGTTAACAGGTAGCTGTTGGCACATGAGTCCTCTTCAATCTCTGTCCTCACCCCTGATCTCATGTGTCAAGTGATCCTGAGTCTATGGATGTAAAGGTAAAGGTAAAGGTTTCCCCTTGACATTAAAGTCCAGTCATGCCTGACTCCAGGGAGTAGTGCTCATCTCAGTTTCCTAGCCAAGGGAACCAGCGTTTGTCTGCAGACAGTACCCGTGGTTATGTGGCCGGCATGACTGAACACCGAAGTGCACATAACACTGTTTACCTTCCCACCGAAGTGGCGCCTTTTTATCTACTTGCATTTGCATGCTTTCGAACTGCGAGATTGACAGGAGCTGGGATGGAGCAATAGGAACTCACCCCACTGTGCAGATTCAAACTGGTGACCTTTCGATCAACCAGCCCAGCAGCACAGCAATTTAAACCACTGCGCCACCTGCCTATGGATGTACAATTTATGTATGTAGGCTGGATGCCAGCAACATGCATGTTCTCTGGTCACATGGAGTCCACATGCATATAAGTAGCATGCACACAGGGCCTTGTGTTCACAGACATAGTCAAGGCATAGGGGAAGCAATGGAGGCAGCAGGTGAAGCTTGTTTCCCCTCCATCCATTTTTTGTATATGGTTGGAAGACAAGGCGAAGGGACTGACCAAAGCCCAGTATTTACAAAATGGCCAGAAGACTTAGGCTTAGACACATTGTATGAATCATAGGGATGCAGCAGCAAATAGTATCTGTGTCAAGCTCTCCTCATGTAGCATATAGGAATACAAATCCCGTGAGAAAGTTCCATCCTTAAAGGCAGCCTAAACACAAATTTAAATAAATAAATAAATGAAAGAATGATGTGGCATCATCTCACTGTGAGTAACTCCACCACTGTCAGCGAATAAAGAGTGGGGATGGAGAAACTAGCAGCATAATGTCATCTCACAGGGTATGCATATCTACATATGGGAGGAAAAGAAATGAGAGATACAGGTTTTGTGCAGAGTCCTATAGTTCATTTAATGTATTGTTCTGTTCTTATCTTATGTGATGTTCCTTAGCAACTGCAAAGTTGCAAAGTACAACTCCTTGGCAAGCTTCTTTAGAATTTGATTCCAGGGGAGAGCTTTTTAACAAAAATGAGAATATCTAGGGACCTGAGTCACCTGCCAGCTAATCATGTTTGCCTCTCATAGCCCTTCATGTATTTGTATGGTATGGAATTAAGAAATATAAACCTTGAGTTCCTTCCAGCTATGTCTATGAATGATGTTAATAAGGGAGGTGCACAAATTCACATTTGGCACATTCGGGTGACTGGGACCAGGAAATAATCAATAGTAATCCAGGTGTGCTGTCATAAAGCTTTTAGGTCTGAATTATATGCACAATTAAAGATAAACCCACCAATTTTAAATATCTCTAAGCAGCTCTCCCCCTTCTAGCTTGTTCCACAAGTAGTTAAGTTTTCACAAGAACCAACTTTTAAAAATAACGTCTTACTGGAATTCTGACTAAGATTAAAAGCTTTCTGTGGCTAAAGGTACTTAAAGAAGAGAGACTCTGCTGGTACAAAGTATCTTCCTGTTCCTTTAATTAAGTGAATGGGAGCTAAAGCATTAGGAAAATGATGTGGTTCAGCATAAGCAGTAACAGGGAAAAGATTCTGTCTTAAGACAGGACTCTCTGGGCATATCTGTGCTGCAGAATCTAACTGGCTATATATGGTACTCGCAATTCTCCCAAGGGAATGAAGAATACTGAATAGGTAGTATTCAGTCTTGTCCTTGTCCTGGCAAAGATAACTGCCAACACAATGGGAAACTAGTGATTTCTACAGCAATAAGAAACTAGCAGTTCCAGAAGTGAACAAGTCTGCAGAGTTTGCCAAATTTCTATGTCAAGATAAAATTTTCCCCACTAATAGACATGCGGCAGAGCATGAACTTTTCTACCTGTGAACTGGGCTGTACGGCCTTCTTATGGAACACAGCATGTGTTTAGCTTACCATTAGTCATGTCAATTAAAGTATATACATGTTATTTGCATGAAGTGGATTGGAATGACTATGGACTAACTGATTGTATCAATGGAATAATTGATATGAATATATTTAACTGAAAATGTCAAGTGACTACAGATATCTATATATGTCTACATTAAATTAAGTCCCCTAAGACTATACCTTGGAGTGATTAATCAACTTTAAAGGTGATGTTTAAATGAAGGTAGTTTGGGCTCTAGTGCAAGTGGAACTCCATACACAGGATATTGAATGGCAAAAAGGAGAAGGCAATTTTGCCAATTCTCCTTAAGCACTCCACCCTGAAGGGTCTGGACATGTTCTGGAAGAGGGAGGGGGACTGTGTGAGTAGGAACTGCAGTGGGAAAAGAAATCTGTATAAGTTGTCTCTATCCCATTCCACTGGCAGGAACATAAATTAGATCAAAAGTTCTTCCATGAATAGAAGGAGCCCTTGTACTATGGGATTCAAGCCATATACTGAAGTATTTGATCTCTAAAGTACCCAGTGTTTGGTCCCAGGATACTTAAGGACTCTCTTCTCTTATATGAACCCTCTTGGTTGCTTAGTGCATTTTTCAGTCTCTGTTCCAATTTCTTCAGTGTTTGGAAACTAGTCTAGTGGCTGTGAAGAACAATACAGTCTCAGTGATGAATGGTATTCTCCTTGCAAAATGCCTTCTCTAAAAGGAGCCCTTTCACTTTTCTGGTTTGGAAGAGGTTAAGATTATTTTGTTAATCAATGAAGGTTGACTAGAATTCAGCCAGAGCAATCTGCTGCATATATGCATTTAAAGATAATGTGATGGTTTTCAGAATTGTTTTACTATATACTGACATTTCAAGGTGCTTGTTCAGGAGCTGCTTTGAACATCTGGTTTAAATTATGTGGTGAGAGATGCATTTAAAAAGACAGCCAGAGATTTCAAACAGAACCTTTGGAGATAAATGGTGATGAAATAAGGGGAACTTTCAGCAGAAAACTGGTGTGAGACCTAATCTGAATCAGGAGCATTTTCTGGACTGAAAGTGGCTGTTCTTTATTCAAAGTTAAAGCATCTGGGTGAAGTGTACTTGTTTTAATACAGTAGTTTGATCCTGAATTTCACTACATATGCAGCACAATATATCTGTTCTACAAAAGCTGCAGCTTGTGCATTTCTGAATTATGTATTTAAATGTGATTGTTTTCCTTTTGACATACATAATAATTCAGCTCTTTGCCTCTTTAAAATATTTTATCCATTTTCTATTAATATTCTATTGCTAACCTATAGTAATATTTAAAAGTATTTTATATATTCCAACTCAAAGAGCAGTTAGATTGTCAGTAAACAGACTTGAGGACTTGACATTTCTCTATTCACTGCATACTGTTCCTTTCGTTTGCCACCATTTTAAATTAATTGTACTTGCATGAAATCTGATTGTTATCTTCTGCATTCAGCACTCTTGAGGAACCAGCTGCTTATTGTTTATTAATATCTCAATGATATGGAGATAATTTTGTTATCTTAGACTGACTTATATACTCTATCATTTATATTGCATTTTATACTTGGTTGCTTTTGATTTTTGTTTGCTAAATATCTGATTGCTCTAGAGTTTGTAGCTTTTTAGCACCTATTATATGGGCATGTTAATTTATTCTACTAAGTTCTGCTGGTGATTTTGCTAGATGGGGTAAATTAGTTGTGACTTTTTATTTAATGCTGTCACATTATACTGTTTAGTGTCATGAACTGCTTGAAATTGAGTATCGAATTGTTTTGATGACTTACTCATTTTTATAATGGACTTAATTGATGTGTTGTATCTGTTGTACAATTTGAGTGTGGTAATTGCAGAAAAGATGTATGCAAATAAACTTGACTTAACTTACAGAGCCCTTAATGCTGTTTCCTGGTAGACTTGGTAATTTAGGTACAAGACCAATTAGAATTTACTGTCATAAGGAACTCAACTTTGTAACATACCTTCGATGTGAAGCATAATTTCCAGTAATATGCCCAGAGCCATCACAACCAGGTGTTGGACACCTAAATAAATAAAGAGTAATCTTGAGCAACTTAGTCTGAAGAAATTAAAGCTTATACATCAACTGCCCAGCATCAGAATAGCTGGCCTTTGCAATGATGTACCTGTCATAGAAATGCCATGACAGCCTCTTTGACTGAACATTTGCTGAAGATCAAACTGCTATTAGTTGCAAGTACATATGAGTTCATTTCTATGTGACCTAGTGCTGGTTACAGGTTTTACAAGTCCTTTAAGCAAGACGCTTTCAGTAGGCCCATCTACTTCTCCTTGCCACTGTTGAGGGTATCCATTTGCTTGCTTTTCATTTTGTGCCACATTTACACCATGTTCCAGAGGTAAGATGCTCAGGGGTTTTGCTTCACTTTTTTCCTTACATTGGAACTGAGAGCAGATGAACAGGCAGCAACGGTAACAAAGATGAACAAAGATTTGGGAATCTCTAGGTGCTGAGTCCTCTACCGGAGTGTGCACCTTGGCAAGTACCTGAGGATGCTAATGCTTGATTCTAGAGATGAAGTCACTTCCTCAGTCAACAGCTTCTGGCTATTTCAATTGAATGAAAAATACCCTCAACTACTAACTAGTAGCATGCAAGTATTAACCAACATACCAGTCGCTGAATTTCCACCCCTACCAATGTGTAAACAACATTTGTGGTTAAACATTATACATCACAGCTGATTACTGCATTAAAGTCATGGAAATTAATAGGTAGGGGAATTAATTCTTCTGGTTAACCAGGCTAATTTCTTTACCCTCACACTCCATCCAAAAAAGTGCTTTTAGCAGATAGAGGCCACAAAAAAGAAAAGTAATGTATACTGCTCTCAAATGGCCAAAGCCAAAAATAATTTTCTTACAAGCCTAATTGCTTTACACCAGGTTGCCATACATTTGTTCATTTGTAGAAAAACATTTCTGGTATTTGCAGAAATTACCCCATTGTATAATTTCAAGTCCAGACTTTTAAAACCAATGTAAAATCCTAAACAGGGTATTTTGAGATAATTTAAATTATGGTATCTAATGCATTTAATGACTTGTAGTATTAACTTGTGGTATTAAATTTAATAACTTGCTGGTTTCTAAGTCAGTTCTATTTTTTCCTGCTCACTAGCCACCACAAATTTTAAAGCCCAAAAGTGGGAGTTAGTCCAGCTGAAGTTTGAAAGAAACCAAATATATGCCAGATGTGATTATATTTCTTCTCTCACACACTCATGCACACACTTCCTCTTGGTCTAGAACAAATTAAAATTGTTAGTACCCTTTTGCCAAGTAGCATACGGCATTTGCTGGGGAATGGAGGTGAGAGAAGGAGCCCATCCCACTCATAACGCAACATGACATTACTAGCTCATGCAATGTCAGTTGGGCTTATGTCAAAGAAGTTACAGTCTCCAGCACGGCATGCCCTGCCCACTTCCACCACAAGTCCTGTCGGAGTGTGCAATGCAGCCACACTGGACAGATTTGTACCCAGAGCTTCCACTATCACAGGGCAAAGCTACACATGAACCAAGATCCTTTGGCAGAAAGTCCTGTAGGCCAGCCTACAGCTAGGTTGTCATGGTGACACCACTCCTGCGGCTTCTGCTGAGCTCCTGGCTTCCCCTCCTCCAACATCACATCTATTACTTCCTAATGCATTATGTAAGATAGCTTTTTAGCTTTTTAGCTCTTTAAATCTGTGATTCAGTTGCCAGTCAGATGAGTGCGTCTTACCTTTTCAGTTAAAACCAATCTTTTCTCATGTTGAAACACTAAGATAAACCTCAGTTCTGAGTCATACAAAAAGGAGAGGTAGCCATGTTGGCTATAAAACAAAAACAAAAACAAAAACAAAAAAGGCGGGGACATGCTTGTGGAATAACTTCATTACACCACTTCAAAGGTCATGAATCACATGCCAATGTTTTGAGATTCCCAGATTGGTTAACTGGGCAAAAAGCAGGTGGAGGGAGTCTGATTTGATGCTGAAGTGAAAAAAATCTTACAAATTGTGCTGAGTCTTACAGAGGAATGAGGAAGGAGGGGACTGCAGACATTGCAGTAATTGTTTCAGGGTACACATGAGATTGCCCCTTGGATTGCTAGGTATAAGAAACAAATTGTGGCTGATTCCCTCATTGAAAATAAAATAAATAAAATCTAGCTGTTGTTTGGATAGAAACAGGTAGAGAGAGACTATACAGAAAATCTCAAACGTTCAAGTTGCAGGCCCATAAATGTCAGTCCTGTAGCATTCCTATGCTGTGCAGCACAGAATTTAAACTTTTATGAGTCTCACAATAATTTCAGTTTTTGTTCAGGTTTAAAGGTCTGAACTCTCCATCATAATGAGTAGCAGTCATTTTCTGGATGGCACTTCCTGTGTTAAGAAGATGAGAAATCTGGGACTGAGCTGAAGGGTGAGTTTTCCTTAAGTAGCAAATAGTATGAAAAGGGAAGGTGCAGGGAGAGGAAGAGATTACGTTCATTATCTCAGTTCATGACTAATTTATTAACAGGTATTAGATTAAATCTATGGACTAGATTACATTTTCCTCACAAATTTTATTTTCAGGAAAAAGATGAGATGAGTGACATGTACCCCATTCATATAGCACTACATGCAATAGCATTCTTCCAGGCAGCTGACAGAATGAATTATGTTCTCTTCACCTAAGCCCAGCCTGAGCTAAGATATTGTGACAGTGGGGAAAAGAAAGAAAGAACAAGACTATGTATTGAAGAACTGGTCAACAGACAAGTCCTTTCAAATGGACTTTGCGGTGACATTTAGAAGCTCCAAGTCCATAAAAATGATCCTGAAGCACTGCTTGCTCTGGAGATATTTTAAATTGAGCATCCGGACATCTAATTATATATTGCAATGTGTTTGTTTTGGCAATGTCCAGTTGGGGTTTTTTAAGGGGATAGTTATTACACAGTTTTTTTAAACTGGGACAGTCTTTAATATTCACTGATGTACATGCTCTTTTAATTTATTTATATACTTCATGGCAATTAACAAACATCCAGCAGCAGTGGAGTCTCTGAGTCCTTTAGAGAGCTGAAAGCCTTGCATTACAACATTGAAAAGATAAACACTTCCATCCTACAACGCAACATATTGAGGACCTTAGAATCCTTTTAATATTTGATTAGGTACCATATAGACACCATCTTCAAATGGAAACTTAATTTGGTTTGATTTTGCTGAAGCCTATGTATAAGTGCTAGAAAGCTATATGCAATCCATATGCACCAAGTACATATATCAAAAGGATGGATTTTTAAAAACGAAAATTTAAAAATTTGGATTGCCATGAGCCCCACAATGGCAGGCTTTATCAGCAGTACCCATTGGCACTGCATTGGGGAACCATAATATCACAGCTTAAAATGGAGCACCAATTACAAAAAGGCAATAGAATGGAACTTTAAAACTTGTAAATGCATACTTTATGTGGTTATCCAAGAGACTGCTGGAGTCCAAAATATCTTGGAACTAATTTTGTGATGTGCAACATCAATAAACATGACTGCAGTGTTTAGGGACTACACTTTAGTTAATGGGTTGCTAGCCAATTTTGTGGTAGTAACACATACAATCACTTACCCATTCACTACTGCAATGTCACCTAGCCCCAGTTTTAATCAGAGAAAAAAATGCTAGTGCAGCCTCATTGGTTTTGGGGTAACCTGGAACCACCATTTTGATCAGCACAATGGGACTTGCTTACTGGCACTGTGGAAATCCTTTCTGGATTTTTATGGTCACCACAAATAATTTCATGCCCAAACAATTGGCTCAAAATTACAGACTGTATGAATGATCAAATCCAAAGTCAGACAAGCCCAGCAAACATGTCCAAAATGGGAAACTGTGAAATATCAGACTCCATTCAATTGAGAAGGAGCAGGGCCTGCAAAAACTTTATAAAAATTCAGTTGTAACAAATGCAGAGAATAACTTTTAGTTTGACAATAACCAGAAGGATAATTTCTGTTTTCCTTACTGAATAGCGATGTGACATTTTAGAATAATACAAAACAAGTTTTTGCTGTTTACAAACTTAATGGTTCAGACAAAATTAGGGCTGGCGTGAGAAATGGGGGTAGGGAATGAAAGACCAATTCATAGAGTCAGACCCATCCATCAAGGAACAGAGTTGGCCAAGACCTGTTGCTGCCTAAGGCAGTGACCAGATTGGTACATGACTTTTCTTTCAGTGAAGTCAACAGAATAATGTCCTCCATCACACTTGAGGGCAGCAAACAAATTTACTGGGAAAAGCCATGTGGCACACAAAATGTCCTTGTTTAGTTCAGTTATAGTAGTTCTATGTATAATAGAGAGAGCCAGTGTGATGTAGTGCTTAAGAGCATGGGACTGGGACTCAGCCGATCTGTCCCAGCTCAGCCACAGAGCAAGTGGGTGACTTAGAGCTAGTCACAGATTCTCAGCCCAACCTACCTCACAGGGCTGTTGTTGTAGGGATAAGATTGAGAGCAGGTGGAGGAGAATTGTGCAAGCCACTTTGAATTCATTGTAAGGACAGAGTGGGATATAAATCAAGTAAATAAATGAATAAATAAATAAACAAGCAAGCATATCAGAAATATACCATAGTGCCATATTGAGACTATTCTAGACTAAACAAAAGCGCTTCTTCTCTAAATAGAGCTATCTATCTCCAGAAATATCCATGGAGTCTTGGCTGTGGTAGAAATAAATCTGCTGTAAAATTTATCAAGAAGATAGGAAACAAATGAGATAAAATATAAACAGTGGCTGATCATTAATACAGAGACTGATGCTAGAGATTGCATATTAAGACTTTAATAATATTATTTTTAAAATGTAGCTACAGTATACAGAGACTAATTCATTACCAAAAAGTTGTGGAATTAATGGGATACTTCTAGAAAGATAAAGGGAAAACAGGATTGGTACTGTCTTCAAAGATCTTGAATTCCATAAGTCAGTGATGATGGGAAAGACATCAGCATC